ACACACACACACACGCATACACCCACGCATACACGCACGCATACACACACTCCGCATACACCCACACATATACACACACATAAACACGCACACATACACCTCCACTTCTAGTGTGCAAGAGAAATTCATCTTTTTTGCAAACTAAACTGTAATTGATTAGTTTAATATTAGCAATGTATATTACACTTTATTTTGTTTTAATTTGGAAAAAGAAAGGATAATTTAGAAAAAGAAAAGATTTGCCTTAATTTTGAAAAAAGAAAAGTAGAGAGAGAGAGAGAGAGAGTAAAATGAAATGATAGAGGAAGACAGAAAAGGTATTCATAAAAGTAATGGTAAGAAAGTAATGAATCAAAAAAAAAAAGCTGATTCAATCTTTTTTTTGAAAGCTTGCAAAATGCGACGACGAAATTCAATTGAACCAGCTTAGAAAGACTCTTTTTGAAGAAAGAAATAGTGTAGAAACTGGTATACAATAGCAAAAAGAAAAGTTTCAAAATTTTCATCAGTTCACGAACCAATTGTACACTTTTACCGAAAAAAAAATTTTTTTTTTCTGAGGATAGTCGTAGAGAGTTGACAAACGAAAAAAAAAGAGGAAAGATTACTTGGAGCAACTTTAAGAGGTCGGCTTTGGGGACAGATAGAAGAAATGAGAAAGAAAATTAACAAAAAAGAAGAAAAAAAACATGGTATTGGAGAAATGATTCAAAGGTATCGATGTAAAAATGTTGTAATACTTGAAAGTACTTTTTCAATAAATTTTAAATGTTAGGTAAATCGTCGAAATATTTAAAAAAAAAATGAATGAAAATAATTTGTTAACGGTAGTTGATATTGATGATGCTAATGACCAACGGATAAATGACAAGAAAATGACAATTTTGATCAGCATGGAAAAGATGATTTAAGCAATCAAACCGTAAAAAATTGTTGTTCCATAAAAAAATGGTGCTATTTCTTTCTTTAAAAGAAGAGACTAACATTTCAAAGATTGAAACAATAAAATAAAATGTGTAATGGACTATTAATTAAGGGGAAGATAGAAGAAAAATAGAGCAATTAAAAGGTTTTATTTATATTCTTTATATTTCTTCAATTCTTCGATTACACTAAAAAATTATCCGGCATCACACATACATGAAAGAATATGATGCCCGAAGAGAAAATCTTGAAAATTAAATGGAAAGCATATCCCTTCGATGAATGAAAATTTTTTCCCACATATCAACTCAAATTATACACCCTCTATCTTTCTTTTTCCAATCTTGATATCAAAAAATAAACCAATGTAATCGATCTAGGAAAGATTGAACGCTTTTGCGAGAAAAAAAGCATACAGAACCAGAATAATTAAAAAATTTTGTTTGTTCAAATAAACTCAAATTTGATGCTTTGATGAAAGGTTGTTTCGATTACCTCGATATTCCAGTTATGCTATTTATATCATGCTATTTAATCGACTCAATTTTTTTGATTCTGCATGTCAAAGAATAATATTTATAAAAGTTACATGCTTCCATATCCGTTTGTGTGATTCATCAGACATTTGCACTCAAAATCAATCGCTATCGGTATTTCTATCTAAATAAATGGCAGTATTAATTCAATACTGTTCAATCTACAAGATGATCAACAACTTTGTAAAATTTATTAAATTAGTAACATAGATCGATTTGTCAGATATATTCATTTGTAATAACATCATAGTTTATCACAACAAACACGCATGCATTGAATCCTTTTCTCCCGAAATATAAATTATCAAATATCATAAATAATGGCTAAAATAAAACAAATCAAATATTAAATTACCCGAAATTTACACAAAAGACAATGGCACCATGTGTAGAGCATATTTAAATAAATTGAAATCGAAACAGGTTAAAATGAAATTCGTTTGCTAAGTGATATTATAGCCACTTCATTACCTAAATACTTGATCCGTTTCAACAATTTGAAATAAAATTAAGCTCGACTAGCCAAAATATCAAAAACAAATTTTGGTGTGATTAATATTATGGCTACTTTCTAAAGAATTATGCAGAACTAGTCCGGTACGCCGTTTTGAATAAACGGACAACCTTAATGATTTTGATACTAAGTTCCTGGAGGATAAGAAAGTTCGGCAAACTATAAAAACTGCAAATAATAAATAAGTGGATTTTCAAACCAATAAAAAATATAACTAATTATGTTTTGCTCTATGACCTGCTGCATAAGAAGCCCAGCGATTAGCAGTTTCATTAAAGAATTCATCTTTTGTAATGATATAAAGCCATTTCAATAAATAAATATGCACGGAGTGATAATCCCAACGTGCTAAATTTGGTGCCGTTTTTAGGCCTAAATGTCTTAAATCATAAAAAGTTCCACTGCCGCTATCAAAAAGAGGTAGAAAAATTCGTAGACTTTCTAAACCAACAGAAAATAATGTATTCGAATCATTTTCACCATCTTCTGAATTAGAAACTTGTGCAAAGTCATATAATCCAATCAGCGAATACAAAAAACCATTAAGTACAAATGTGCCTGGTGTAGTTGGATACTCTTCAAACCACGGATGACCAAAAAGTTCATTCAACACTCCACCTTTTGCAGCGTCCTATAAGTGAAATTGTATTTGGATATTCTAATTTTTATGAAAAACTAAAATATGACGAGAACATAAAGCTAGAAAAGTTCACTACTTTTTAAATGAAAGTAGCCAGTAAATATATTCATGCTGACTTTCTAACTACAAATACATACTAAAAGGACAAATTTCAAACTGGAAATTTTCAAATTTCATGCTAACTCATTTGCAAAAAAGTATCAAAAAGAAATTTCCTAATCTTCCTCAATGTGAAGTGTAATTTAGCACTTCATCAACTTTTTTAATCGAACAATGGTCAATATCACTTAAAGAACTTAATTTTTCTTTGTTACGAAGCTTAATACTCCCAAGTAATAAAAACCCTATTAACTCACTACTTTAAACAAGTGAAGTGCACGTTTTGCAACTTGCATATATTTCGTATCATTCGTTACAACGTAAGCTCGTGTAAGCACACTTAAAGCATGCCCTTGAGCCATTGCACTATGCCAGCCTGCTGGTAAAATCAAACGCTTGTCAGCAATTGAACTGTAAAATATTATTTCAATCTCTGGTATTTTCCTGAAAATTTCCGACCTACCACACAAATTTACAAAAGAATTGGAATTATTGTACTTTATTTAGTTTCTTTACATGAAAACAGACATAAAACCTTTGATCTAGAATCTTCAAATTTACCGTTCAACAGGAACTGACCAACCACCGTATTCATCTTGATTGCTAATTAACCAGTCAGCAGCTATGAGAAAGTGCTCAAGATGTGCTGAAGATCGTTGTTTAAAATCCCGAATTATTGAACGTCCTCGAAAAATAATGGAATCCAGAACTATATCTCCTAAAAATTATTCATAACTTGAAGGAAGAATAAATCTCTCCTGATAATTCCTTATCTGGAACACTCTATAACAGACAATTCAGAGCAAAAAAATCCATTGTAATAATGGAAAATATTGCCATACCAATTAACCTTAAAAGACTTCAGAATGTACGAAATTCAACTCTAATTTAGAGTTTCAAACAGATATTCCTCATCCATTGCATTATATTCCATTATAGTTTCAATAAAGTTTCTACATAAACTCATTTCTTTATAATTTAGCTAATCTCCCTCCGCAAATTAGCCACATTACTATATATATCAGAAAAAAAGTAAAATGCCTGGATGCAGAAGGACAATTTCCTTTTTGTTTGAAGTTGATGCAAGGGCACGACCGGCGTCAACTAATAAATCACGACAAATCCACCGCCATTCATTTGGATTTGGTTTTGCACCCAAGGAATAATTATAATCGGTCTGAAAATTTGCTTAATGACCTTACAAAATAATGATACAGTTCATTATCAGTTTATTATTCAAAACATGATATAGAAACTCAATAATTCTATCCAAATTAATGGCTTAAAACAATATACAACTTCAAATAAAATACTTGGAATAAAAATATAAGATACATAAAGTTTTCTCCTATAGAACTAGAATAGAAATATTTAACAGGTGCTTCAAGATCTCGACATATATATGTATATGCATATACATAAACAAACTTTGCTCGTTTTCTTGTCATGAGAAACACACTGCTCATCAGCGTTATGGACATAATGCAGTTGTATAATTTTCTGATTCTGCAAAAACAAGAAATGATAAAGCGAAGTGAACTAAAAAGATGCTTCATCACTCCAAGAAAACACTATCTCCGACTCGGATATAACCGAAGCAATATCATATATTTTATGCGTAAAATTCAAAAATTTAAAGCCATAAAACTGATGTTCAGGCAAAATTTTTCACGCATTACATTCTGATTAAAGGAAAATTGATAATTACATAAATAAGCTTTAAGCTGATCGTAAAGGAAGCATCCATGTCAGCCAACCAAAAAAAGGAGAGTACTGAAAATGCTGGATCTCCATCAAGTGGCAACAAAACACCGTGATCTATAATCTCAAATGATTAACCTATCTTTAGAAATAAAAATTACATAATAAAATCAGTTCTCTATATAAAATCCACAAATTCGATTACACAAATTAAGTATATCCCAAAACAGTATATAGTAGAGAACAAACAGACCGTCAGAATTAATTTCAACCCTTGTACAGTTTGCATCCTCATCAAAACCTAATTTGAAACCATCTCCACCAAGCGTGTTATCTTCCCATTCTTCCGCTGTTGCGCCTTTTACAAATGTAACCGATAACGGAGCTGGAAAATTGCTAAAGTTTAAGCTTACATTTCACAAACCCACATTTTTTGTCTTGAAAAATCCAAAACATTCACCAATTTTGAATCGACTATAATGCTGCAAGGCATACTGGGCGATTTGTATAGGATAGAAATAAGGAGTTGTTGACCACTGCGTTGATAGTGGCACACCTGAAACTGGTCATTAAACAATATAAAATAGAAATAAGTATAAAAATAAAAACACCAAAAACAAAGATAACAAAAAGTCACAATTATTCTTTCGTTTCTTCATTAAGTAATTAAAAAACAAACCATACTGAGCACTAATGCAACGTACGCGATCTCTAGTTTCTACACTGTATGATGCAAAATGACCAAAAGCTCCACGGTAGTCATAGTTAACAAAATCTGGGAAACGAACTCGAGCATGTGATGTTAACCATTCGAAGTGTCTTGCCATCAAATTGGATTCTGAAAATTACTGACGGAAAGATTTGGAAAAAATATTAATTTCTTCCAGAATTTCCAATAAAGAACAGCTTCACAATTCTTAGTTTCTGCATCCAATTCCATACCACTTTCGTCTTTCGTAAATGTAAGACTTTTTTGTTTTTTCATAGTAATGAAAAAATTAGCGACAAAATAATCCAACCTTTAAAAATCTTTCCAGAAACATCGAAATGTTTCTTAAGAAAGGCGTTGAAGGGAAAATACACTTCATTTGTAAATTCTTCTTCATAACATTTGTATGTCTTTTCGTTATCAACTGTACAGGAAATTTCTTTCACAGCCGAATTTCTGCTTTCAATTTCTTCGATCTGAAGTCAAACAGAGAACAAGAAATATAATAAAAAAGAATGCTGACATCGTAAATAAAGAAGCATCCTATTTTTCACTAATATTAAAAAATCGAATAAAATAATAGTATATACAATGTTCGGATTAAAAATGCAGAAAAATAGGGAATAAACAAAATAAAACTTACTGTACTATTGACTTTTAGCCTTTTACTGCAAATAGTTCACAGCAGTTCTCATATAGACATACCCAATTGTATAGCTTGTGTAGATAAACTTCATGTATTTTAGATTATGGAAAAGAAAATAAAAACAATTTTTCAGTAATTCTTCAAAAATTTTAAACTTTGAGAGGATTCCGAATTTTGTTCAAATAAATCAATTGATAATTAGATGCTTACTGTTAAAGTGCAGCATGACTGCAAAGTTTCAGAAGAAATAGCTTTAAGGGATGATCGTAGAATCCAAAGAACTGAAAGTATGGAAACTGCCAGCAGCGCGGTGACAATATGTCGGGATCTAAATCTTATCATAACAGCTTTCGAGCAGCACTGTTAACGGCATGGATATTCTGAAGCTATCAGCTTACCCCATTTCCGTTGAAAATTTATTTGCTGTTCTTAGCTAAAAAATCAATTTTTGTTCAATTTGAAGATGAAATAGAACTCAAATGGATACTCTACTCGGAATAGAAAAGAATAATACAGGTTCTTAAATTGCGCTGAAAAAGAGTAGAAAATGCAAACGAAGAGAATAAAGCAAACATGTTGATATTATTATCCGAACACTCAAGCAGTTACCTTAACACGTAAAGCTACACATTAATCAAAATTAATTGATTTGAAAATTGGTTAAATGTACTTTCGTTATTTTAATACCATCCAGTTTCAGCGGACAAATCTGAAAAAAAAAAAGAATCTAACATACTTTAAAAAAATATTACATTCAACAATTCGTTAAACCACCATAGCAATACTCTACTTGAAAATTTGATTTTGTTAATATAGCCACTATCATAACACTCCTCCCATGATTTACTCTCCGTTTTATTGCCTTTTAAAAAATGAAGCGAAAAAAAAAGTAAAATCACAATAACCATTAAAGAAACAATTCAAGAAATAACGCTGGACATAACGAAAACTTTTATCCTGCATGATGAATTGAACCTTTGGCCATTATCGAACAAAAGGTTAATGCATAAACGGTAAGTTAATTAATGAATTATAATAAATCGACGGGATCGTCCTTCGATCCCATTGTAACTGATAAAATTTTCTTAGCAAACAATATTTGAATATTCAATTCTTCCTTCATTTAAATGATATGATAATTAGTTAAATTTCCTCAATACCGTAATTGTTTCACTGCGTGAAGATGAGAACTTTAACCTTGGAGCGATGGAACAGAATGACAGAAATTGGATGACTCTCGAGCTGTTGCATCGCAGTCAGCAAAATAAGAGAAATTATGGCATTGAATTTTGTTTTTATCTGAAGATTTTTATTTTTCTTTTTTGCTAGATTTGTATTGGGAAAAGTGTTGAATATGAATTGGAAGGAAATGGAATTGATATGTATTGTGACAAAGATGACACTCGAACTTTCGTCTTCATTGATGCGATAATTGAAGTGAATGAGATGATTTAAGCTATAAGAGTGCTTATAAGCTTGAATTGAAATTTTCAGTAAAATAACAATTAACAAAATTAACAGCTAGCAATGTAAATAAAAACCATAATATCGTGCATATTTTTTTTTTAAATGATATTGAAAGTATTAGAGAAAAGATATGAATAATAAATGCTGATAGCTGCTCGAGATTCAATATAAAAGTTTCAGAGAGATTCAGTATAAACTGTTATCCATCCTAATGATATTATTGTTATCGTGTATTGTATTTATTTCGAGTACGATCTTTTGATCCTGATTATGCTGAGTTTTTTGCTAGCAACTTATTTTAATTATCGTCGTTTTTTTATATTGTTTTTACTTTTTGATGATTTATTAAGTTTTCTTCTTTTTCTACTGTTTTTTTTTAATCTTATTGAATTTTTGTTTTTTTATTTTTTGTTTTTTCAACTTTTTTTTGCTACTTTTTATTGCAATTTAAAGTAAGTTTTTTGTAGATCATTATGGTAGTTTGTTGTTCGTTGGTTTTTTTTCTAATTTTGATGTTTTAGTTTTGAGAGTTAATTACATTTTTTGATGTATTTTCGTTTGTTTTCTTTTTTTTAACCTTTATTTCATAGTTTTTTTCGTTTTGTTTTTTTGTTCCTTTTTCCTTTATACTGCTTTTTTTTTGTTCTTTTAGTGTGATAATATTAATGTAAATTTTCTTTATTTTTAATTTTGGTATTAAAAGATTTTATATTAATGATGAGTTTTATGCTAGTCTTCAAAATTAATTTTGAGTTTTCTAATCTATTTTATATTGTTTTTTTCTTTTGTTTATTTATTTGATTTCTCTTGTTTTTGGGTTTTATTAATTTTTGTATTACCGATTGATGGAAGAAGATGTTTGTTGCTTGTACTTTTGTTTCTATTTCTTTGACTAATAGCTCTGAAGGTATCAATAGATGTTTGGTTAGGTCTATTATTATGTTATTCAAGAAATTCGCGCATGTTACTTTCTGATGTTTGATATTTGAAAGTCGCAATTTATTTTCTTCTTATACTAAAGCCTTTGCTCCTTTTCACTTTTTTTTTGCGTTTTTTTTTAATGTTTTTGGATGACATGGAAAAGGAAAATTTGGTTTGTTTTGTGGTTTTTAATTTTGTAGAAATCAGTTTATTTTGCTTTTTGATGTAACTTTTTGTTATTTTTTGAAAATTTCAATTAGTTTGGATGCATTAGTTATCGGTGATTCTATGGAATCTTTCAACTGTTGTTGTTATTTTAATGATGTTTTTGTTTTGTTTTTTTTTTCTTATTAGTTTGTTATATTTCTAGTGATTTTTGATATTTGTAACTTTGGTGTTAGCTCTTTAAGAATTGAAATGTTGATGATGTTTTTGTGTGTTTCAATAAGAATTACTTTTGTTTTTAAAAATACAAATTAAATAAAATTTGCCATTTACAAATAATTAGATATTATTTCGTATCGATAATGTCTTCAGCTGTAGGTTATACTTCTGTTGCTGTTGTTTTTCATGCTTCGCTATAATTATGATTTAACGTATTATGATTATCTTGCTCATGTTTTATTTTATGTTGGTTTTTTGTCTTTTTTTTTAGTTACGCGGGCTGTGTTAGTTTAAGTTTAAAATGTCTAATTTGTAAATGATAGATTTTATTTAATTTGTATTTGATTTGCTTTTTTTTTTTGTAATTTTGCTATTTTTTTAGTCTATTTTTGTTTTTTTTTTGCTTTATATTTTTTTATTTTGCAAGATATTTTTGATTATTCATGGATTGGATTTTTATTTTTTT